CAGCCCTGGCCAATGTGGCTCAGTTGGTTGGAGTATTGTCCTGTACACAAAGGCTAACACGGGCCAAATAAACAAGGTTTAAGATTATGTGGGCCACAAAAAAAACAAAAGCTTCAATTTTCATAGAAACGTAGGTTTATTTCGATAGAGACATGCTGAATACAAAGGGCTGAGTAATCGTTAACATAAAATAATAGAACATTTTAGCCCTATCTGGTTTGGCTCAATTGATAGAGCGTCGGCCTGCAGACTGAAGAGTCCTAGGTTCGATTCTGGCCAAGGGCACATGCCTGGGTTGCTGGCTCGATCCTCAGTAGGGGGCATGCAGGAGGCAGCCAATCAATAATTTTCTCTCATCATTAATGTTTCTATCTCTCTCTCCCTCTCCCTTCCTCTCTAAAATCAATAAAATATATTTTTTAAAAATAGAACATTTTAATAAAAATTAATGTTTTTTCTTGAACATTAACTTACCAGACACTGAATAACTGCACAAATTAATAAGCATAACACAAATAAACTTATTTTTCTTGTTCTCCTAAAGCGAAATACTTTCTATTGCGCACACCAAACAAGACAGTCCTAGACTAATGACATGGCAATTGGCTGCTAAAATATTCGCTGTTAGTATTAGTGGAAAGAAGTGGTGTGCCTGCGCTTAAGGTGCCTAAGGGAAATGAATGCAACACGATTATAGTAATCAGTCATTAGCGAACATTGTAGTTCATTATGAATAATTATGTATAACAGGATATTGTAAAAGTTAAGTTATGAGATATTTATTAAAACATTTCATACCGTTATATTGGCTGGGCCACAAAAATATTTATTGTGGGCCACGTGCAGCCTACAGGCCTCGGGTTTGACATACACTGAAGGGTGCGGGTTCAGTCCCCAATAGGAGCACGTGCAGGAGGCAGCCAATCAATGTTTCACGCTCACATCGATGTTTCTCTCTCTCTCTCTCTCTCCCTCTCCCCTACTATCTCTCTAAAATCAATAAAAGCATGTCCTTGGGTGAGGATTACAAAAAAGAAGAGTTAAGAAACAGATGTTCTGGTAGATAGATGGCCTTAACACAGTGCATGCAAAAGCATTGTCATAGAAAGCCCTGTCCTCCTTTTCTTCTTATTAATTCCTAAAGAAACTTTATTTGTAATTGAAAGCCTATTGAAATGAAAAGGGAAGTTCCGTCCAATTTAAGTAATGCCAGAATTAGGATTGGTGGTTAGGCCCTTGCTTAGGGAAAAAACAACACAAAAAACTCAAGGTCTGAGAAGGCAGGAATGCATAATTTGAATGGGTACCAGCAAGAAATCCATTGTGCAAGAATCAACAGCAAAGGCGAGCTCAGGGCGAATCAATATATTACAATGCAGTAGGATTCAGCCTTCACTTCCCACTCCTTCCACAATCCATCCTGAGCCAGAGTTCCTGAGAGAGTAAGGGGCACTACTGGAATTTGGGGACATTATGGTTCTTGGTTTATGGAATTATCCTCTACATCAGTGATTTTCAACCTTTTTCATCCTGTGGCACACATAAACTAATAACTAAAATTCTGCAGCACACCAAGAAATATATTTTTTGCCAATCTGACCAAAAAATGGTATAATTTTGATTCATTCACACCAGTCAACTATTGCTGTGTTGACTGTTGTCATTTTTATATTTGACAATCTCAGGGGAAAGAGGTCAGTGCTCCTGACTAAATAGTCAGGTATTGCATGTTTTTTTGTTTGTTGTTGTTTTTTAATATATTTTATTGATCTTTTTTTACAGAGAGGAAAGGAGATGGATAGAGAGTTAGAAACATCGATGAGAGAGAAACATTGATCAGCTGCCTCCTGCACACCCCTTCCTGGGGATGTGCCCGCAACCAAGGAACATGCCTTTGACCGGAATCAAACCTGGGATCCTTGAGTCCACAGGCCAATGCTCTATCCACTGAGCCAAACCGGTTAGGGCTGGTATTGCATGTTTTAACAATTCTCCTAGCATGCTGGTTGAAAATCACTATTCTAACTTGTAGGGTATTTACATCCTTGACCCCATCACTAAATGCAAGTAGCATTTTCCAATCACTGGCACAAACAGGTCCCCAGTCTCTCCCTAGAGTAGACATTATAGTCCCAAGCTGAGAGCCCTATAAGTCATGGCTATATCAACAGGTAGAATATGGTGGGGCTTGAACATAGCTGTGAGAATGCAACATTGAGCAGCAATTGACCAAGTTATCAAAGATCCATCCTTCTGTCTACATTTAGTGCATTAGGAAAAGAGAAACAATTAGCTTTATTTGCTGGCGAAGAAGCAGTGATGTCCAAAAGGCCACACCAGACACATGATTAAAGAGATGGCTTTGTAGTTGGCAGTAATGCAAATTTTAAAAGGAAATCAAAGACTGAAATGAGCTGGAGGCAGGTTCAAAAGAACTGACTAAAGCAGTGACTGATTCAACCCATATTGTTATTGCTCTTTGGAAAGAGATTGGGGGGAGCTGGGGTGTCTTTGAAGATGAATTGCAGTCTGCTTGACATTTGCAAGAAAAATAGAGAAAACAGGCTAATTTTTTTTTGGATTCTTTTGGACACTGAGTTTAGGACACCTAATTTCAAAAATAAGTATAATAATGAAACTCCGATGAAAACTTAAAATCCTGCATATCAAAGTTGTTGACCAGTTAATAAGTCCATGCTATGCTCCTTGGAATGTTCTGTATAGATGCTGCCTCGGGTGGGCAGTTTCAGGAACTCTCCAACTTCCCCAGTGTTACTATGGAGCAGCTCCTTCTCTCTTTCATTCTTCCCACTGACAACTAAACACAACACATGATTCTCAACCAGACCTTTTTGCTACGAAGAACATGATCGGGACCGCTTGATGGGGGCTAGGATTAGATGGCAGTAATGTTGTCCCTGTTAATTTCCTGATTTTGATGGTTGCGTTGGGGTTATGTGGAAGAATGTCCTTGCTGGTAGGAAAATCAGGGTGGGCGTCAGGTTGGCAAATAATTAATGAGAAATAGTTGTTTGTATTGTACTTGCAAGTTTCCTATGAGTTTGAGATCATTTCAAGAAAAAAATTAAAACAAACCTCTTTCGGTGGCCTACTTATTATTAAAACAAACAAACAAAAGACTTAGCCCAGGGCTTGGCAAATAGTACTCGCCTAATGAATGGTACTGCTGTTAGAGAGCCAAGGGAAGGGGCGAAGGGGTCCTGCAGTGGCAGGGTGAGGGGTCCCTACCCATCTGCTTCCCCACAGATGATTGGTCCGGGGGCCATAAGGCAGGACTCCTAACAAGGGCTGAGAGATTGAACCTGCAACCCAAGTACGTGCCCTTGACTGGGAATCGAACCCAAGACCCTTTGGTGTGTGGGCCAACACTCTACCTGAGCCACACCGGCCAGGATACCGATATTTTTATTATAACCACTAATTGAGTAAGTGGATGGGGAGTGGGTGTGTAGAATTAAAGCTAGTAATTAATTACAGCATATATTAGAGCAAAAAAGGGAAAATATATTATGTTGATTTAAAGTATAACAGTTTAAAGCATAAAGCTGGTGGCTGTATAAGGAATTCAGCAACTCACAAATTATTTGTGCAAAATTTTTTCTAGAAAAAAATGATATGAAAGTTCTTTGTTTCAAAAGACTTAAGAGATTCCTATGTTAAGAATTAGGGTGTCCAGAGAGGTACAGAAAGTTAGGTCAAGGACTAGGATTTGGCTCCAATTCTGGTTTCTTACTGTCTATTATTAAATCTCTTAGTTTATTTGTTACTCTTCCTTTAAAAAACAAAAAGGTGGTTTTAATTTAGAGATAAAGAGTCTATAGGATTATGTAGGGCATAAAGAAAGAAATATCTGAGCTGTGTAAATGCCCAGAACTGTCTGCATTGGGGGTCTGCACTGTGTCTGTGCAGTGCATCCCTTTGGCATCTGGTGGAGCCCATGAACGCAGAATAAAGTTTTTAACTGCATGAAGTAAAACATATAGGCTTACCAAGGGAAAACACTAAAACGTAGCTATTAAAATACGTAAAGAACAAAATGTGTGATATTGTAACGAATATATGTTTTTTAAATTAATGTCTAAATAATAAGATCTAGCGTCAGGACCAATAACTGTGGTGATTTCATAGTGGTTGTCTTAGTCTACTTGGGCTGCCATAACAAAATACCATAAACTGAATGGCTTAAACAAAAGAAATTATTTTCTCACAATTCTGGACACTGGAAGTCCGAGGCAGGGAATCAGCATGGTCAGGTGTGGTGAGGACTCTCTCCCTGGCTTGGAGAAGGCCTCCTTCTTGTTGTATCCTCAATGGCCTTTCCTCAGTTCCTTCACATGATGAGAAAGAGGGGGAGAGAGAAAGAAAAATGAGAGAGGTCTTCCTCTTCTTAGAAGGCCACCCATCTTATCTGATTGAGGCCCCACCTTTATGACCTCATTTAATCTTAGTAACCTCCTAAAAGGCCCATCTCCTTTAAGGATTAAGACTTTAACATATGAATTTTGGAGAAACACAGTTCAGTCCATAGCATAGTGATGGGCATACATGATATTTCAAAACATGTTCAACAAATTATAATGTGATATGAAAATAGCTGTGATCTACTGGTGATAAAGTCACACGTATTGCTGCTAATGGGTTTATTGCCTACATTCATCATGGAAGGAAATGCGTGATTTTAGGTAGAGGTTAGTGAAAATAAAGATATGATACTTTTCCCATCCAAGTTCACAGCCACTCTGAACTTCTTTACAAGGACCTCAGGTTAGGAACCCCTGAAATATGTTCTTGTTTTGGGCAAACAAGTGGCATACCCCCAGGACAGTGGGAACAGATTCAGAAATCATCTGATTCTGCCCATTGCCCATTACCCAGGAGCAGTAAGTGTGTTGCATTAGAAAGAGAAATCACCTGCTTTGGGCTGGTTTTCTGATATTTTTGAGTATGTGTTTGAGTATTGGGATGTGTTTGTCTTACAGACAGCGGTCACCTAAATACTACACAACGTGATTCCTGGGCCTCTGAGAACTTCTGGCTCGACCCTTCTGTGAATGGCCAACCAGAGACCAAGGCAGAGGATGAGGAACTTCGGAAATCCCTGGATAGATTCTATGAGATGTTTGGCCACCCACCACCAGCCTCTCGAAACCCACTCTCTGCATCTGTCTGCCAGTGCCTGTCTCAGAAAATCGACGAACTGCAGGGCCAGGAGAGCCAGAAGTACGCCCTCCGCAGTTTTCAAATGGCCCGGGTCATTTTCAACCGGGATGGCTGCACCTTGTTACAGAGGTATTCCAGGGACGCCCGATTCTACCCGCTGGGAGAAGGAAGTCAGTCTCTGGATGACGAAAAGCCGACCCCAGGACTTTCCAAAGACATTGTTCGTTTCCTCTTGCAGCAGAATGTGATGGAAGACCCATAACTGGTGCCTGGTGGCCAGAGCAGGCCACTGTCAGTGCACCACCCAGGTCCCCTCCGGTCTGTCTTGCCAGCTGTGTGCCCCGCCCCCAGCTAAGTGCTCTGCAGCCAACAGCTGGCATCTGTGACCAAGTATTAGAGGCTGGTCAGCCCAAATAGAGAGCCATCGGTCGGTACCTGGGAATTTTACAGCCCCCGCGGCCACATGCCCTCCTACCTTTCCCTTTGGCCTGAGGCCAGTGATGGACTGGTTTGGGAGTTCAAAAAGCCCAGTTTCCTTGTCTCAAAGGAAGACATGCTCTGTGACATAATTTACTCTTTGGAGCTCCAGGCTGATGCTGTCTTTCCATTCATTCACCTATTGGTGCCACCTATGGGCCTTTCCTCAATAAATCGCTTGTACTTGAATCCTTGACTCAGAGTCCACTTCTGGGAGAACCAGACCTAAGGGAACAGGCTTCCATCAGATGGATTTTTTGAAGGGAATAAAACTATGCTGAATCAAGTAAAGAATTATACCATGTCGTAAAACTGTGACCACGCGATTGAGAGCATCTGTCCCAGAAGAATACAAAGATTTCAGTACGCTTCCAAAAAAGTGCTTCGCATCTTAGTCAGGCCCTTGCCTCTCCAAATCCAGAACTGCCTATTTTATAATACCACCTGGGAGTGGAGGGGACATGTGCACCTCCTAAAATAACAGCTAGGATTCGCAAATTAAAGAAAAAATAGTCTCTTCGTCTCCGCCAGATTGCAAATGTGAAAGGTGAGGAGAAAATAAAGGTTCTCCACACACCCAAGTACGCGCAAGCTCAGGATGATGGGCTGGGCGGGCCAGTGGCCTCGTCAGCTTGTGGTGGGAGAGAGAGAGGAGTCCTTTGCCCAGGTGCACTCCTTCCTCTGGTGGTTTCTGCCTTCTGCCTGCCGCCAGCACCTCTGCCACCTTCTGAATGGTTGACCCCCTCACCCCTGCCCTGTCCTGACTTCACCAGGGAGTGGCTTTACCTTTTCTTTTTAGATTATTTTTTAAATTTATCTCTTAGTTATAGTTAAAAAATACAATATAATATTATATTATTTCAGGCATATAACAGTGATTAGACATTTATGTACCTTTTTAAAAAATATGTTTTTATTGATTTCAGAGAGGGAGAGAGAGATAGAAACATCAGTGATGAGAGGGAGTCATTGATTGGCTGACTCCTGCATGTCCCTTACTGGGGAATGGAGCTCGCAACCCAGGCATGTGCCCTTGACCAAAATTGAACCCAGGACCCTTCAATCTGCAGGCCGACGTTCTATCCACTGAGCCAAACCAGTTAGGGTGACATTTATGTACATTATGAAGTGATCCCCCAATAAGTGTGATATCCATCTGACATCATACAATATTGACTATATTCCTTGTGGCTTTAAATCGCCAATGCAGGCTTGTGTTGGCAGGTGCTCTGCTCCACAACCATGTCCTGAACCCCCATTTGAGACTCAGTTGGTAGATGACATCACCTGGGACCAAGTTCCCTGCAACTGTCATTGGAAGCCTCGCAGTAATCCTTACCCAGACAGTTCTCCAAACAAACTGCATTGACAGGAAAGGGTTATATCAATTGTTTCGGGGGGAACAAGAAGAGAAGCTGGCAATGCTGTGCAGTTAGATTTGGAGCAACTTCTGATGAAATTTAATTGGCATAAGATCCCCTAAGCTTTTCAGAAACCGTATTAGGCAACTAGATCAGCCTAACCGTGACCATTCAGAGTGAATGTGTCCTCGCAGGCAGGTTCCTTGGGGACTCTTGGATGGAGACAGAAGGAGACAGAAGCCTTTTAAAGGTCAGACATAAGAAACATTTCAGACGTAAGACACAGTTCCACACTGACGTGCAGACGCACCACTGGAAGGAGACCTAAGTGGTAGGAAACAGGAAATGAACAGGCCTCTGAGAGACTTGAGAAAACAAGCCTCCCAATGTTCCTCCGACCAGCAGTCTTCCCCCACGGGCCTCTCCTATTCAACTGGCCCCACATAGTCTGAAACCAATGGGACTTATAATAGAAAATCTACAGGTTGAATTTGAAGGTCAACCTAGTTTTATTGTTTTTTAATGTGAAGCAAATTAATAGATGCCCTTGAAGAATGTTGTAGTTCTTAGTATCATGCAGTCACTGAAATATTGGAGATTAGTTTCCATGGCTACCAACAAAAAAGAAACTGACTTATTTTATGCTGTTCTTTTTTTTTTCTTTCCTAACTGAGATTTTATTGTTTGTCTTGAGGATCAGTACACAGACATATCAATTTGTACACAATTCTTAACATACGTACCCAAAATGTAAAGTCATGTAGTTGTGATTCTTTTCTAAACAGTTATTCCAGTGACTTTCAAGCTTAAAATGTAGAGGCTAACTTTCCTTAATAGAGTATCAAGTACCAATATCTTCAAATGTTGATACGCTCTTACATCAAAGTCCCACTAATTCACAATTTAATAGCATATATACTACATAATCAAATTTTCAATCTTTCACAGCACTCTGACAGAGTTACTAGGAAAACTGGACTACCACCAAAGATGTTACAGATGCACAGAATTCTGACAGGGAGAGCCAAGATCAAGGAGTGGTTTTCTTTAGGAAACAATGCTACCAAAAAACATGTGAATAGAAGTAATTTAAAATGTTCAAGACATAGCAAATGCATGACTGACTCCAAATTGCCAGTTAGTATGCTTTGTATTATAGGATATAAAAACTACCCCCATCAATGGAATGTTAAGCTGACACCCAAGACAATCAAAGTCTCCCATATTCAATATCCCACTATTTTCTGGTTGTACCAAAAAATAAACAACCAGCAAATGATTTCACCTCTTTAAAAAAATAGCATTTACAGTTTTAAAAAAATGGGATGAGGTGGAATTCCCTCCTTCTTAAAAATGTTTCTAGAGCTACTAAAAAACTTGCATTTACGAAATAGTTGATAAAAATATTCCTCTGGATTGTATAAGAAGGGAGACAGGGACCACTAATAAGACATGGTATGTGACATTAATCAGACTTGGCTTCTTTTTCTCCTTCATCTGAGGTTGGACTCTCCTCGTTTTTACTAGCCGTTTTTACTAGTAGTTTCTCCGTTTTCCGCAGGTAGATCTTCAGGTTCCTGGTCAGCCACTTGGGCCTGCTTCCCCTTTACTCTCCTTTCCCCTTTGGTTTGCACTTTTTTGTCTGCAGATTTATCCTTTCCTGCTGCCTTTTTGGGCTTCGTTTCCACTTTCGCAGGAGCAGGTTTGGCTGACAACCTGGCTGACCTCCTCATGGGCTCCTCCTTGGCCGCCCCCACCGCAGGCTGACCTTCCTCTTGGGCATCGTGGAGGCGGGCTGGGCGCGTGCTGGGTGCCTGAGGGCCTGGGCGCCTAGTGTCTGGGCGAACCTGGGCTGCCAGGCCGCTGCCCGGTCTCCTGCGGCCCAAGCTGCTCTTTTATACTGTTTTTAAAGGACAAAAGATATAAGCTATTTGACTCTCCATGCCCGGAGGCAGCAGCTTCTCTTGGGCAGTGAGATTTTAGTGTCAATAATTTTGTTAACTTCATCAGTGCTATGGGCTCTCAGCCAGCGGTTAGACTCTAAAAGCAGAGAATTAACAAGTCTAAAAGCCAGAAGCACCTGATGGTAAAAAAAGGAGTGTGGCCTGTTCTTGTTTGTATCTGAGTAAGTGCTTGTGACAGGTCAGAACAAGATATCTGATTCCCTGCAATCTCGTACCTTAATTTGATCTCCGTGGGTCAGGATGGCATTTTCCATTTATCTCTGTTTACCTTCAATAAAGACTAAGAGGAAACGACATTGAGGCTCTGACCCTTGGCATTATTATTTAATTCTGCCCTACACATCACTCACTGACATATTACCATCCTACCAAGGTTCTGACTGGCCTGTGATACCACCTGTGGCCCTTTGGTCTTGGGGAGGATGGATTTGCTTGCAGGAATGCCAAAAAAGAGAACTGCTGCCATGTTTTAACTTCATGAAACTATTATTCACTTCATTAGTCTATTTCTTTGCTTGACCTATGTAAGGGCACATGTAATGGATTTTTTTTTAATTACGTTTTTATTGATTTGAGAGAGGAAGGGAGAGGGATAGAGAGATAGAAACATCAATGATGAGAGAGAATTACTGATCAACTGCCTCCTGCATGCCTCCCACTAGGGATTCAGCCCAAAACCCCTGTATGTGTCCTGACCAAGAATCAAACCATGACCTCCAGGTTCATGGGTCCACACTCAACCACTGAGCCATACCGGCCGGGCCACATGTAATAGATCTTATTAACACAAAACAACACAGTAATACTTTCAAAACTTTAAAGCTTAGTTGGAAAACTTTTTATTGGGTTACAATAATCTTGTCGAAAGTGTTTATAAGTAAACATCTTGATGATTTTCATAGACTGAACCCACCTATGCAATCGACAGCTGTGAGCAGCTAGTCCCTGTGGCCCCTTCTGAGTGGAAATTTTCATCTGGAAAACTGAGGAGACTGGTTTGCTCAGACCAGTGCTTCTCAAACTGCTGGTAGTACACAAAATAATGTCTATGCACAGACAATGTTTATTTTCATTGTTGTCTATTCAGTTTAATATATTAGAGAAATATAACTACTATGTCTAATCTATGCTTCTACAGATATTACATAGGATAAGCCTAATATAAATATTTAAAATATAAAAGTGAATTGAACTATTGAAAGTGTTAAATTAATAATAGCTCAGGTGACATATAGGTGTGTCAAAAATTATAAAAGCGGTATACTGGAAATGACTGAAATTCAGAATACAATGAGTTAGGTAAGCTATTCTATGTCTCCCACCATCTCTCTCCTGGAATGCTGTGAGAAACTCCCATCAGGTGAACCCACATCTAGCTTTGCCTCTCTTTACCTTGCACCCATAGTGCAAATCTTTTTTAAAAGCAAAGCATGCATGAATGGCCAGAAGATTAAAAAGCAGGGTCTAGCCTTATCAAATATGAAAACATTTTAACTCTACAATAATTAAAGCAGCAATAAAACAGAAAAGAAAAAGAGTTCAGTCCGTAAATAGATATGAATGCAAGAGGAAACTGAGTATATGATGAAGCTAGCATTTCAAATGCATAATGAAAAGATTAAGTTTTTTAGCAAATGGTCTCTTTTCTTTTCTTTTCTCTTCTTTTCTTTTCTTTTTCAAATGGTCTTAGAGAAACTGGCTTCCCACACTGGAAGGGGAGAGTAAAAAAGCCTGACTCCTCACCTCACTCCTGATATCAAAATGAATTCTAGATGCTCTGGGGTCACCAAGGATGAGATGGTTAGTGCCTGGGTGGGCGCTTTAGGCTGGGTGGTCCGAGAAAGACTGAAGAAGTAGCCTTTGAGCCGAGAGCTGCAGGATTCACAAGAACCAGCTGCACAAAGGCTGGAGTGGAGCATCGGGAAGAGGAAGGAGCATTTGCAGAGCTGGTGCGAAACTCAGCCTGAAATGAGCTCGAGCTGGACAGAAGGAAGTCCCGTGTTTGGAGCACAGCATACAGGGGCAGAATAGCAGGTGAATTTCAGAAGCAGGTGAGGGCCTTTTAAGCCAGGGCAAGGAATTTGAATTTTATTCTAAAGGTCATAGGAAATGATTTCTGGATTTTAAGCAAGAGAATAAGAAAATATTCATGGAAATTTAGTATGTGTTAAGGGTAACATTTCAAAATACTCGTAAAGTTTGAAT